ATAACTTATGCTTACATGACATGATAAGAAAATTATATAGTTGAACTTCTAATTATAGTACATGTAAATATGAATGTAATACATATTTAAAAAATATAGATAGACTAGAGTCCTCTTCTTTACTTTTAACGGCTTTCCATCTTCCCGCCTTTCCTGCCTATTACCTCTCAACAATTTTCGATCTACAAGGTATGTACTTTTATTTGCAATATTACTAGACCGGAAGTACTAGTGATCTCGTTCTTTCATATGGCGAATACGTAATTTGGTGAATAAACCCACGTGAAATGACAGTGCGAGAAGTGAGCGTTCTCGTCAAAAATACGTAATAAACGCCCTGTCGTGTCCATTTTGAAACTATGCTCATAGTGTTAATATTTTGTATGAATTTTCTAAGGACGTGTAATTCACATAGGCTTATTTAAATTCCAAATTTACCTAGCCGAGGCAAAGCAATTTAAACAAAAATATAAATAAAGTACGAATAAACAAGTTTCATAAGAAGTAAGGCCATTACGTGTAATACATTTGAAATTTAATATAATTACATAATCACTAATACCACGTTCCATTAAAATTACATAAGAAAGAACTATGAACGTGTTTATTTAACAGGAATATTACATTAACGAAATAGTTTTAAGTAAACCAATCGATTTTTTATCGACATATGAAAAAATTCGTATCTCCATAATAATAGTACGAGTAATCGTGAAGTAATCGGGAAATGTATGGTATTCTAAGCTAGGATTAACATTTTCGCTCAGATTTCGCATTTGAATAATCGCGTGAACCAGCAAGTGCGTATATGTTGAATTATTCAGGGAAGAATTCAGCGAACAAAGGAATCAAGTTGAATGAAATTAAACCAATAATCATGGCAAATGCAACCGTTTCCAATTACTACATCATTAATAAATTCATCCAATTACTGCATCATTAATAAATTCATCCAATTACTACATCATTAATAAATGCAACAGTTTCCAATTACTAGACCATTAATATGTCCCGCAGAGTTCCAGATTCACTTTACATTTTGTCGTTTGCCTCGACAAACGCAATGTCAATGCCAGGTCGGAAATAAATACGTCTCGTGACTCAATTTCAAATTGAATCATATGCGGAATAGGTCGTGACATAATATATCAATTTTATATATAACTTTATAACCCCAAAACTTTTTTACCCATTAATTACAAGACACTAAGAATCTCTTTTACGTTAACGAAGTACCTTATAGACACGTATAGGATTTAAATAAAAACATCATGTAACATCGACATAAGCAATTAACGAAGCACTGATTACAGAAAATATTAGTCAATCATGAACCTGGAAACAATCATTACTCCATAATGGCTTTTTCGATTAAATTCCATCGACTTCGCCTACACGATCTAGATATTCGAAACGTTAATTTTCTACAATAAATTCAAAATGAAAAATGAAATGGATTCCGTCTCAAATAATCCTTTAGATCAACGCGTTGGCCTTACAAAGAGAAGTATACGAAAACGAAGTAAATAAAAGACCGGACAAGCTGACATTAGCCACGTAAGTGTAAGTAATCTGCAAGGATAAGCACTGCCAACCGTGATATTTGTATGGATGACGAAATAAGTTACTTTTCGCACGTTCAAAAGTTTTCTACGTCCTCCTCGAAAAGGTTCTAAAATATCGGCGCCAACGAATTGAAAAAGTCCGCAAGACATCAAACCAAAGTCTATTAAGAGGTAAAGAAAACTGACTATAGATATTTCTGCATAGAACTGATTACGTTTGACCGTACGGCCGCATCTGCACGCAGCTGCACGCATCCTGAGTGAGCGAACACACGCAGAGGGGAAAAGATCGTGGTGTGAGACTCCAAAAATAAAATACATCAAAGCTACGGAGAGTACCTTACTGCAAAGTCCATGTAGCGTCATCGAGTGGCCGCGGAAGCGTAATCACGTTTCCATGTGCAAACCCTAGCCAAGAGTATAATACTAGCTATGACATAACCTACAACCTGTCGCGCGCGTCGAGCCCTTTGTCGTGTCTTATCCTCTCTCGTTGTCAAAATGTCCGCCGGCCTTAACCTCTCATCTCACTTCGACGAATTCACGTCCTCGTCTCGCGGCCGAATCGCGTCGCAAATCCGCACGGACATCTCTCTTAAATAAATAAAAAAAAACGAAACCTCGATTCGTTACTTTAACCGGCAGTTGACATTCAATTTCCCGAGGACAAAAGCACCGGCCGGTGAAACAACCTGATGCATCTCCCCATGGAGACGTGACGCGGCCCGATGTCGAACCCATTACCGTTCCGAGAGTGTCACGTCGAGATTTTCCGTTTTTGCTTACCGATTCCCGTCGAACTATCGGCGGTTTTTATTCCCTAAGTATGTACTCACATTTTGGCGCCGGCTCGTATTCACGGTCAACGAAAAAAGGAACTAGCGGGCTCAGCGGTCACTCCCACACTGACCTGACAACGCGCGACAGTGCCGATAGCACGTGCGCGCTTATCGAGCGGCGCCACTCGGGTACCTTCGGTTTCGCTCGGCTCTTTCCGCCAACGCGCGACCCCGTCAAAGTAGCCAACACGCGAGACTTCCTTTGCCGCACTTCGCGCGCTTTATGCCGCTTCGCGCTACTTTGTGTTTCTTTCCGCACGGCGCATCTTCCTTTCCTTGCACTTTATTCCTTTTTGTGCCGCACGAGTGGATCTTGCACTCGAGCGCACCGTCGAGTCAAGATCCTACTCGATGACCAGGGGGTCTATTACGTAAAGCAAATTGAGCGAAAATGTGAAAAATGACTAGCTCACGGTATTACGGAACGTTTTTGGTGGTGAAAATGTAAGACATTCATATGAACTAGCTCGACACAAATTTTTAAGCGAAATAGTGAAGCATACAAGAAAAGATAAAAAAAATAAGCACCGTGAACGCCATCTTCCACGGATTGACACCGAAATTCAAAATGGAAAACCTGGGTGTTTTGATTTTTGGCAACAATCGTATTCAAGGACGTAATAATAACCTTATTAGAAGAAGAAGGGAATTACGTGATGCCTCAGACTCATTTTCGTTAGAAGAAAGAGAATTTACTAGTATGTATATACAGGTTAGTTTTTGTTATTGCGAGGTTATATTCATTATTAAACATTGAAAACTGTTAAATAATTCATGCTTACATGACATGATAAGAAAATTATATAGTTGAACTTCTAATTATAGTACATGTAAATATGAATGTAATACATATTTAAAAAATATAGATAGACTCGAGTCCTCTTCTTTACTTTTAACGGCTTTCCATCTTCCCGCCTTTCCTGCCTATAACCTCTCAACAATTTTCGATCTACAAGGTATGTACCTTTATTTTCAATATTGCTAGACCGGAAGTGCTAGTGATCTCGTTCTTTCATATAGCGAATACGTAATTCGGCGAATAGACCCACGTGAGATGACAGTGTGGGAAGTGAGCGTTCTCGTCAAAAATACGTAATAAACGCCCTGTGTCGAGCGACCTATACGACGATACACGCATGCGCTAAGGAAGTCTCGCACTGTGAGATCAAAAACAAAAATGGCGGATTTAGTTGATAAAAAACAACATTTGAATACCTTTACATCTTTTCTTTTTGCATACAGACAAGTCCTACGCTTGGATATGACATAATGCCGACATCCATCACATAGTACAACACTTCTATCCGCGACAAAGTCCATGAAGTGATATCGCGACGTTACAAAGAGGCTGCGGAATGTGGGGCATGCGGTCTTTCTACGGAAAGGTACCGCACGGATGAAAGGAGTCCTTCAGGCTTGCAAGGGGAAGTCGACATAAGGGGGTTGGAAGATAACCTTTTACCTCATCATACCTCATGAATTTATTGGCATCTTAGTTTCTCCCTAGTTCTTAAAGTTAACGCGACGAATTATCCGCTGCTTTTAATCTTTGTTTATCCAGAGTAAAAGAACCGTTTACAAAGAAAACTAAATCATTTTATGAAAGTCAAAAACTATGACGATGTGTGTTCATGTGTTAAAATGTTTGTACACTCGCTTTTAACATATTGCGCGTTGCACAATGTAACGTTACTTTCATAGTAACATATGAAATGATCAGAGGTAGTCATAAGATATATATGTTAAATATCTAATAGTTGAGGGAAATTGTTTCGATAAAAGAATCCCTTTAATGCAGATATACATGTTGAGACGAATATACCTTTTACAATAATATTTATATTTATATTGAAAAACAAGAGGAAACTAAGCGTAGATAACTTCTTTAAATAGTCTCGTGTGTTTTAAATTTCCTTAGGTTGAATATGTTAAATGCATAAAGTGATAATGCAGATACTCCATGACTAATGTGTTGGAATTCTATTTGTGTCACCTAATGGATATAGATATTTAAGTATATAACAGTAAATGTATAATTTTCTACTTACACAAAATTTGTTGAATGTTCTACATCGCGAACAATACTTCAACTCCTTTCAAAAGACTGAATTAATAGTATCCTACATAACTATTGTACCTGACCAATTAGTTACGAATTTACTTAAATACAAATTAGTTATGCGAATCAGAAAACAGCACTCATTTACAAATAATGTTTATAATACTGTAAATTCATTGTTTATTTATGTTGATGAATCGTAATTCAATACATCATAATTTGTGAATAAGAATATTTAGTTATATATACATTCACTTAAATACAAAATCTAATTCCATCTTTGTGAGGTCATTTACAATAAAAACCAATTAAATCGAACAAGAATTTACAATAGAAAAGAACTCCACATATATTTTTTACCAGAAATTTTATCATATTAATTATTCGCAATATTGGGTATAGGCATACAGTTGCTTTATTTTTTAAAATTCTGAGATCGTAGATCTTGAAATATATGCAAGCAACTAATGTATCATAAATATTTGTAGTTGATTTATTAGTTACCTTATGTTGAGGAACAAATTAATAATATATAAGTAGTATTTCTGTAAGATTTATTTCAAATAGAATGTATGAATTTAATATAAAATAAAATAAACATGCAATGAAGTAGTCCATGTATCATTATATATTATTACATATCTTATCATCTAACTCTCATAACTATCTTCTTTCATTATGTTTTCCTATGAATTAGATATCAAATCGAAGAACTTTGATTTGTGCCCACTGCTTGATTCTTCGGAAGAGTCATCATCATCATTCTTACCTTTTACATGATTTTCTTGTCTTTCCTTTTTTTCTAAGAGGCGACATTTTATTAAATTTACAAAATCTAAAGAGTCTTGTCTTTGAACTGCAGAAGATGAATTCTTCAAAACAACTGGTAATAGTTTTCTGTCTTTTGCTTTGGTTAAGTGATTTCTCTGCTTTTTTATAATATCTTTTTTTTTCTCAATACCATTTTGCACTTCAAAGTTATCAGGTCCATTTTGACAAATATTCATTCTGTTATCTACAAGTTCCATATCTTTACATGCATCTTCTACAACCTTTCCATCTTTATTTGAATCCATTATGGAACACACTTTAACAACAAATTCATTATTTTTAATAACAGCAATACTTTCTTCTGAAGTGTCCAAAGAAACAGTCTTTTTATTTGCTACTCTACCTCCATGCAAAAAAGTTGACATATTTTTACGTCTCCACATTCTTGATGTACCAGGAATTGGTTGTTTACATTTGCCATCAAAATAAAATTCCTTGACATCAATATCCTTCACTTCACCCTTTAAATACTGTAAATATTTCTTGAGAGCTGTATAAAAGTGTAGCTTATCACTCATTCTTGGAAAATTGGCACATCGAGCACTACTGGAAGGAACAACCCAAACAGCAGTGTGTCCGATACATTCAGGCTGTAGTCCAAAATTAAATTCCGACTTACTATTCTTGTCAGCAAAAACCTCATAAATCCCCTTTCCATTAAATATTGCTATCTTTGGTTTGAAAAATTTGAGCTTCTCTTCTACGACTATAGCACCAGCTTTAATTTCAGTGCGCTTAAGATCTGCCGACGATCGGGTGGCTCTTGTGACAATGTTCGTTAGACCAATTTGATATTGCAAAAGTTTGTAATCTTCATCAAAACTTAAACATTTTGATGTTAATCCCGATTCATATAGTAATTTATAAAAATGATTGCCTGGACCAGCATAATATCGCCCTCGGTATGCAGCTGTAAGACTCGGATTAATTCCAACGAAAACCATGTCTAGATCTTTTTTCAGGATATCGGGGAGTGTATATTTTTGTACTTCTTCTTCGGTAAGCCCATCAAACCTTTCAATTTTTTTCTTTCGTTTCTCCGATACTTCAATAATCTTTCTTTTCTTTAATTTACTCAATGCAATTGAGGACATAGCTATATATGTTTCAAACATTTCCTCCTTCTGTTATAAATTAATTTACATTAATAAATATGAAATTAAAGACTTTGAAATACAAGCCAATATTTAGAAATGTAAAAGGTTACGTCAATAAATACTTACTTCTTCAACATGTCAACAGACTTATTTAAAGTATACTTTTACAGCGGTTATGAAAATTACATGTTTGTTATTTAATTCCTACATTACTATTCTAGTCAACAAAATAGTGTTCAATTTTATCCTAGAAAAGCATTTTTACGACCTTTATGCCCGGTTCCATAACTCTGGCGAACTCTGATTAGTTGAAGTTTAATTAGTTGACAGCAGGTTTAAATCAGGTGTAAATCAGTTAAACTTTAGTTAACTCGATCTGTGGAAACGGGCCCAATAGCGGGTCCACACGCACTGACGCTGCGCAAATTAAAGTCGGTGCCATGTGTTTATACCAGATTAAGGTGAAGTGAAACACCCTTCAAATCAGTCGATTCGAATACAACACTTTTTTTTAAGGGTATTAGACCAAAGTGTTCGAAACTTTGACACATCACTCCTGATCATCTAAGAATTATCCTGACACATTCAAAATTTGGATTTTTCAACAAAATTTTTTAACTCAGTCCAGGCCAGAACCAAAATGGCATGACCTTAAGGTGAAGTGAAACACGTCGAGGAACTTGATCAACGTCGATAAAGAGGATTTTTCTAAATGCCTACGTTGCCGACGTTCGTTTTTATATTAACAGCTGGGTCGAATTATATTGGGTATTGTACCAAATGGCATACTCCACCTGTCGTTTTCGTACAATAATTATAAAGAAAAGGATGTAAAACTCCAGAAATCCTCTGGATTCATGCCTTCTTGGGCCCCAATTGACTGCGGTGGGACCCCCTGCGCCATCTGTGATTTCCAGGTCAATTAAATTTTCACTCCGAGACCTCGTATTCCCATCGTTTTAGCAAAGAAGCGCATACAACACTTTTTTTGCCTTTATCCCGTTCAATGCGAGTTTATCGATTACCAGAGTGTTCTAAATTGTCGTAAAATTGTCCTGACTCTTTCGATTCTCATATCAGAGCCTTCGATAATTGTATATTGATCGAAATATGATAGCTCGATGCCATTTTGGTTCTGGCCTGGACTGAGTTAAAAAATTTTGTTGAAAAATCCAAATTTTGAATGTGTCAGGATAATTCTTAGATGATCAGGAGTGATGTGTCAAAGTTTCGAACACTTTGGTCTAATACCCTTAAAAAAAAGTGTTGTATTCGAATCGACTGATTTGAAGGGTGTTTCACTTCACCTTAACATGTCTCATCTCAGTATGCTAGATATGATGTGCAATATAATAAATATTAAAAGAACTGTTTTTAAGATACAATATTTAACATTGCAGATTCTATACATAAATACAACACTTATTTAATAGGAAATAAAACACGTTTACATTTGATTTAACTAAATCTTTTTACAATTTCAGTATCACATTGAAATGAATTCAAGTAATATATCTTGTATTATGTGCAAGATCATACAAAAATATATATATATCAAATTACTCTTATCAAATTCATTAGATGTACATTCTTACATTCTATCAACTATTTATAAGCATCTAATTATACAGTACAACTATAGTAGTTTTTATTTGATTTACAAAAACGTAAAGATGACAAGTAACAAATATGAATATTGCCTCAAATGTGCAACATTATCAATAAATAATAATTAAGTAAATACAATATCTTTTTCCATGGTTTATATAAAACAAGGGAAAAATACTAATCATAACAATTTACTTCGGATACAAATCTTTTCAGTCAATGTTCTGGGTTTTCCATGTTATTTTAATTGTTATAGTTGTAAGTTTCAAAAACAAGTGAGCAAATCTTATGTCATACTGTCTAAGTCAATATCATCAAAATCTTCTGCGTTTAATTCAAGCAAATGACCAAAACCTTTTTCTTGTAAATTTGAATTGCTACTTTCTTCTTGCATATCATTATCTGTAATATTTGTACTGGATTTTTGCTCTACAAAATCATTCATTTTGGTTTGTCCTTGAGTATTTGCAAAAAAGGAATTTATTTTTGGTTGCTGGGGTTCTGAAACTTTTTGCAAAGTAACATTAGCTGTACCAAATGAAAGGTCTTCATTGAGACCAGCCTCATTAAGTGTCGTCAGTTTTTTCTCAATTAAAGGCCAGAGATGATCATCAACCGTTTTTCGAGCTACCAAATATTGAATGACAACGCTATTTTCTTGTCCAATTCTGTGAACTCTGTCCTCTGCCTGATTTAAAATCTATTCAATGTAAAATGTATTTTGTAAATAATTTATCAACATAAAAGAGATTGTAGTATACAATTTAATCCTTACCCCTGGATTCCAAAAAAGTTCAGCAAATACTACTAGTTGTGCCGCCGTTAATGTCAATCCAGCATTAGCAGCAGTTATTGATAAAATGGCTACTCGATAGTCATCATACTCTTGAAACTTATCAACTTGTAATTTTCGTTGCTCCGAACTTGTCTTCCCGTCAATTCGTATATATCTAATAAGTAAACACGAAGTTTATAAAACAAATAAAGCATTTCTCTCTACAGAAGCAATGAAATGTAAAGAGCAATATTACTGTATCTTCTTTGACGTTACAACTTCACAAATAGCATCCAGAAGAGTATGGTGATGACCAAAAATCAGGAACTTTTTTCCACTTTCAAGTAAGTCAGTTACATAATTACTGAAATAAATTTGTTGAATTAAAATACCAGAAACAAGGACAATATTCTAGAATGAAACTGAAAACATACCAAACTGCCTTTATTTTTGCTTTACTGGAGATATTATAATATTCTATGAAAGCATTTTGTTTGTCAAACCCTTTCAAATTCTTAATGTTCAAATTTTTTGACATTTTTTGAAGCTCTTTATTACTAGCCTCTATTAATACTGGATCCAAGACAACAACTTCCCTAAAAAATTGAAAAGTAAATGCAATATTATACTAATGACAACAACAATAATCATATTACTAAAAACAATATAAATATGAAATCTGATAGCCCTACATTTAGAGTAGAGACTCGTTGCCTCATTAACCAAATAAAATAATTCAAAAGATTAATTTATAAACATGACCATGTGTATAATGACTAGTTTATACCTGATCTTTGAAGGTAACTGACTTAACACGTTACTTTTCAATCTTCTGAGTAAACAGGTAGCTTTCAGAAACAATTGTAATTCTTGCATATTGGAAGAACCTGAGAAATCCCATCCAAATGAACGCTTAATTCCTGCACAGTATCGAGTACCATAATCGTGATACCTAGAGACGAGCATTGTAATAATGTCTATTGAACATCACAAAACTTTAAATAAAACTTTATTACATACGGCATGAATCCTGGTTTAACTATATTAAGTTGTGAATATAATTCTAATGGCCTAGATAATGCTGGTGTTCCACTGAGCAATACTACATGATGAGCATGAGTCGCTATTGTCTGAACAGCTTTTGTTCGTGCTGTTTTAAGACTCTTCAATGTATGGGACTCATCCTAAGGTATAAAAGTTGTAAACAAAATGTATCGTTGACCTTAATTTTAAACAAATATTGGTATTCCACTGTTAAATCTAATACGTACTAATATAATGAATCCAAAGACATGTTTAAGGAATGTATCCAATGCTCGTGATAATAAATCATACGATACAATAACTACTCGTGAGTTATTGATATAATCTTTACCACTTGTAAAATGTTGAACATAGTGAGTTGGAATAGATGGCAGGAAATTGAATATTGCTTCTGACCACTGGTATCTATTTCAAATTCATACAAATTTTATAGAGGTTTGATAATATATAGCCTCTACTGATATAGACACGAATTTTTTCTTATACATAGCTGTAGGCATCACGATTACCTCATTGACGAAGGAGCAACGATTAGAAGCGGCCAATCATTCTTATAGTAATGAGCGATTCCCAGAGCCTGAATTGTTTTTCCTAGTCCCATGTCATCCGCAATTATACACCTACCTTTCTTAGATATTCCAAAACTGTAATAATTATTCAATATTTAAAAACAAGTGTATAAAACACACTTGCAGTCAAAAAGTAACCACTTCAAATTAATTACCAAACTCCTTCTAATTGAAATGGAAATAACTTCTGGAGTAATACTGGATCTACTGAACTTAAATCTATTCTTTCCATATCACATTTTATGTTTGAATTGTTCATGAATGTCTGGAAAATAAGTACAGTTAGAAACATAAAAACATTCAATTTCCGTGACCAAATTAAAATAAAAACAAATAATTACTACATGGTGTACCGCAATATTTTTGAGTTCTACTATTGATTTTATGTTTACATGAGAAATAAATAACTGCACCAATGAATTCTATTTGTATAGGAAGCTGTAATTTTACCTGCATAACAATTTTAGGTAAACCAGCAATGCATACATTTGGTCGAAATTGTAGTAATTTTTCCATAAGAAGTTCATAGTCACTTATGTGAAAACTCCAAATTCTAGTTATTAAATCTAAAATTCATAAGTTTATGCGAATTATCTACGTAGATACGTTTTAAAAGAAAACTTATTTGAAAATGCAAAAACTGTTCTCTGATCTAATAATAGATACATTGCAATAAATTAAATTACCATATGATTTACTAGGTATTGATTTATATATATCAATGAGAGGTTGATGAAATGAATCTGTTTCGATTGCAAATGTCACTTCACTGATCATATAGCATTTTCCAGTCACAGCTTTTTGCTGGCCAAAAAATATTCGAGGTTCAATAGGGTTAAAGCGATTTGATTTTAAAGGGGACCGTAAAATATTTGAATTATTTCTATTTTGTCTGAATGTTTGTTTTTGGTGACTACTTCGACCCATAGAATGCTGTGCTAAGGGAGATTGAGCTCCTTTTATTTTTGTTTGTATATTATCTTTTGCATTGCCATTTGAAGGCTTCACAACCTCAGTAGCATGTAGTTTTTTTACTGTCTCTTCTTTACGTTGCAAGGCTAATAATCTTTTTTGTTCAATCTCATGTAGAGAATATTTCTTATCTAGAATAAAAATTATGTTAATACTAACAAATATTCATTATTTAAAACATTAACAAAACAGTCAATACCATTAGCATGATTATATTCTATTAAGTAAGATTTTTAATGACAAATAAAATGTACGAACCAGTCATTGTGCTGCATGACATATCAATTGTATCAAATATTAGCAGGACATTAGCAATAAAATAATTTAAGATTTTTAAAATAGAATAAAGCATTGGATTAAATTCAGCAGTACGAACAACATTTTTTAACTGAAATCATTTTCGTACTCATAATCTCATACTATCTCACAGCATAATGTGAACATGTGATTTAACTTTTGTAAACATTGACTACATTTCCATCGAACTGCTCAATCCGAGATTTAACGGGTTCGGATCCACTCAATCGCATGTGTCTACATCGCTTTAATAAATACGCAGATACGATCCAAGGGGTCTATTACGTAAAGCAAATTGAACGAAAATATGAAAAATGAGTAGCTCACGGTATTACGGAACGTTTTTGATGGTGAAAATGGCGAGATATTCATATGAACTGTCCTGGCACAAATTTTTAAGCAAAATGGTGAAGCAACAAGCAGAGACATCTCTGATACAAGAAAAAATAGACACAAATAAGCGTCATGAACGCCATCTTCCACGGATTGTGACACCGAAATTCAGAATGGAAAACCTCCTGGGTGTTTTGATTTTTGGCAACAATCGTATTCAAGGACGTAATAATAACCTTATTAGAAGAAGAAGGGAATTACGTGATGCCTCAGACTCATTTTCGTTAGAAGAAAGAGAATTTACTAGTATGTATATACAGGTTAGTTTTTGTTATTGCGAGGTTATATTCATTATTAAACATTGAAAACTGTTAAATAATTCATGCTTACATGACATGATAAGAAAATTATATAGTTGAACTTCTAATTATAGTACATGTAAATATGAATGTAATACATATTTAAAAAATATAAATAGACTCGAGTACTCTTCTTTACTTTTAACGGCTTTCCATCTTCCCGCCTTACCTGCCTATAACCGACTACCGCTCAACAATGGGTGCATTCGGAGGAGAAAAGCGGTTACCGATGAGTTGGGAACATGTTGCGATTTTCTGCTGAATGGACTGTTTAATGATCATAATATAGCGGCATTCAGTGTTGTGTAACCTAACCTCCTTATAGCACTGACTACTAAATAATTACATTAATGATATTAATTATATTAGCAGTCAGTGCGTACACTGAACTCCATCGATGGCTTGCTCCTGATCCGCACTGCCCTCTCCGGCCGCGCAGCGTAACAGCGTCGGGAGCAGCGCGGAATTCGAATCGCTCGAGGGGCAGAATGGATTTCCTAAAGAAAATAAATATTTATAAACTAAAACAATTAATGAAAATTATTTTAGTATTACTGTGGAGCGTCCCTGACCCACCTAACGTAGTTTTTGTTAAATAATAATTTACAGAATTTCATAAAGAATATAATAGAACATGTTCTATTAAATGTTAACAAGTTTCTTAGTGATTCAATTGTTCCATTCACTGAACCGAAGTTAGAATATTATCTTAGCTTAAAAGAAATAGTTTCTAAATATATATATAGTGAAATACCGTCGGAAAATTTACGATGCATCAACTATCGGACATAGAAACGAAATCGTGATTTCATGCCTCTTATATATTTACGTTCTACACCATTCTTCGTATTCCTCGAATAAATGGACACCTGTAAATCATTAAATCAGCATGTAAATGAGCACCCGTAAACATAAGAAAGACTTTTCATATCCGAGTTTATTGTAAACGCAAATCGGAGTAACTCTTACGAATTGATTTCATTCGAAATAGGTATTCAAGGTATGTATACTTTGACCACTTTGAAAAAGTGAGATAATAGTACCGCCATCTTTGTCGTGTAACGTATTAGGTATTTTACTTGGATTTTACGTAAAATACTTCCCTTAAGTATTTAACGAAAAAACCTCGAATGACGCGTCACTGCACAACCCTTGATATAGGAATATAGGGGACTGGGCATAAGATTAACTAACTTAACTTAACTTAACTTAAATTAAGGTAACTTCGATACGGGCGGTGAAGCTACTGGACAAAGCGGACAGCCATCTTTCCATGTCAAAACGTGGCGCGAGATTTAAATGTCTCCACTTTTTACATTGAGAGTAAGAAAAGGAAACAACAAATTTTAAACTCAAAGCGGTAATTATTGTAATCTAGGTTAGCTTTTTAATCGTTTTCTCTACAATTAATAGCAACAAATAATTACTCATAGATATTCTAACATACATCATCATTGTTTTATCGTTACTTTTGCTGAATGAAAAATAACGTTAATGAATTTAAAAAGAACCAATTTTTCAAGTTCCACAAAACGAAACGACGAGTTTATCTTGCTTTCTTTTGCTGAACGAAAAATAACGTTAATGAATTTAAAAAGAACCAATTTTTCAAGTTCCACAAAACGAAACGACGAGTTTATCTTGCTTTCTTTTCTTCGCCTTCCCAGTTTTTTCCTTGCAACTACGAACCACATGGAACATTAATCGTTTTTAGAGAACAACACAATTTTCAATTTTCAATTTGTCACGTTTAAACCAGCATATTATTTAATTATTTTGACGCTGTGATGTTCGGCACTTGAACACGCCAACATGGTCGACTACTCCCTCCTGAATTTTGTCCCGTGTTCTGAATTTTGAAAAATATATCCGCGTAGAACGATTGCTTGTGGAAAATTGTTCAACGAATATGATACTTAAATATTTTTGCAGTCAGCACATTTTGCACAGAAACTGAAAAATGAATATGCAATGATATTATGGTTTATGTAGGAAAAGAATATTTTGTTGACGTTTAATTTTCCATCCACCTTTTGGATAATAGCATTACAAATAAATGATGGTAAAATTTAGAAAATTCAGTCAATGGATCAATTCGCGTGTTTGATACTTTTCATACTTCATAGATACATTGCCCAAGGCTTAATTACGTGTACCTGATTATTTCTTATATTACTCGGATTTTCGAAATGTTCCTTTAATAAATGTTAACTTTAAATGTGACCGCATTATTTTTTATACTTTCGTTTGATTAAAGTCATTTGCCTTGACAGTGGTCGAATTAAAGCGATATATTTTGAAACTATAGCACTTATACAATATGGATACTCTTATTCAATCCTTTGATACTCAAAATCATTTAAAATCAAACAACGCTAATATTTCAGAATAATGTACAAGACATTTTATCATTATACCAAGAATAGCTTANTTAAACATTACTTTTCATTGAAATCTATTACTTTGTATAATATACGATTATGAATTTCATTGATTCGGTCGAAATCATTTGACAGCGTTTCCTTTTATATCACATTGAAAACGTTTTAAACTAAATTTGACGAGAATATGATGAAAGTTTGATCGTATTATAGGTTTCCTAGACAATGGCTTGAACATAGAAACAATGTAGATGTAGTGCGTTCACCCTTTTAATTCAATCATGTAACCTTTTCGAGCATATTAATCTGTCAAATTTGAAGTTTATTCTAGAACCCACAGGAAGAAATAGACAAATGGGGAAATTAATTTCATGATGAACAATTTCGTACACAAAATATTGGACAGCACTGTGGGATATTTGTTTGGCAAGGACATCACTTGCAGAGAACCTGTTAATCCTTGTGACGATTATCAGCCCGGTACGATGATGGAATTTGGTCGGGTATATACAAGAGTATGTATTTATCACAAGAAAATAACTGCAATTAATGTTTTTATAAAAGTTCTACATTCATCGATAGAAAAATGTCAAAAAAACAATTTGCGTATTGCGATGGTCATTATGTTACCACTAGGTATGTCATTGAAGTCCATTAACAGCAGTATTCAAGACCTATCAAATACAGAACAATGTAATATTAAATTTATCGATATTTCTGATGTTTTTGCCTTTTACTTCGGTGAAAATGATTTCAAACAAATATGCGAGATGGTTTCTGCGTTTCATATTCATATAGTGCTTTGGATGTCATTCGCGCGACATGTTTTGAGTATTTCACAAAGTGATACTTCAGAGTTTTGATCTTCGACAAGATAAGAAATTTTCGTAAATAATGACTTCTCAAATTGTAAGTATAATATTTCATTTTTACAATTCCTATTTTAGGAATATTTCATTTTTGTCCAGTTTTCTTATTCGCTAGCAGTTTGTGAATGGGACTAATGAATGCAGTGTGACTAAAAAATAGCGTTATTAAGATTATTACTGAAAATAATTCATAAAAATATCTATTAAATGACATTTAATTCAGCTATCTTATGAATGGACTTGGTAAATGGATGGATGGATATCTGTGTATATTAGTCTGATTCAACATTTTATAAGGAAGGATGTTTACTGTAACTTCCCAATAAATAATTAGCAGATATCTGTGCATTGTAAATATTACAATTATTATTAATTTAAAGCTACAAGATTATTGATTAATTACCGAATATTGGTAATTGTGAGATAATAGTACCGCCATCTTTGTCGTGTAANCATGGATGAAAACTTACAAAACCAACCGGATCCTAAGTGTCAAATACACGTTTCATTGTAAACCTTTCCTAAAGTATTTTTTTGCGTATTTTCAGGATACTAACTTAATAAATACTAAATTAATAAACAGTTATCAATTATAACACGCAGTTACGTTAAAGCGCAATAAATTGTAAACGAAGATTTTATTGAACATATTTGTAATGTAATATTTAAATGGTTTAATACTGAGCAATCTTAAAGAAAGATCAAGTCAATAAGTATAAATAAATATTTACTTAAAAATGTCGGTTTCTCCATTCAAAACAAAATATGAATAGACGTAAATAGCAAAGTGTTCTTATTCATGTTTCTTGTTATACAAGATTCGTGTCAATAATATGACTGTCAAATATACTTTAAATCCGAATCTACCTGATTTTTTTTTAAAAGAAGTAATTTACAATACATTCAATGTTTACTGAATATTTCGTAAAACTGATAACATAAATCATGAAGAATTGATATTTTTTATAAGATCAGATGACGTGAAACAGATAATGTTATGTAACGTTATAAAACAATGTGTATAAACGCAGTATTTATGTGCTAGTAGCCTTTTGGAAAACGCCATCTGCACCAATTATTTTTTTTTTCTTGCAACATTTTCTGCTGACAAAAGAACAGTAGCGGCAGTTATGTATTAAATTAGTAAATGAATAGGAGACGTTGATTCAGGTGGAAACAGGGATATGCATTTTATGCTTCCTTTTTGAAACGTTCAAACAGCTGATCGAAGTTTGTACGTCAAATCCTAGATGGCTCCAGTAAACTTTCGTGTCTTCGCTAAGTTTTTCTGGTAATAGTTTAATACGATCAAAGATGAGAATATTGCACCTTTTTCAATAAATATCAAGAGAACGGGAAATTTAAACGTTTAGTGGTGATATTAGTTAATAAATTTTTGCCTCAAAATGAACAGAGTAAAGGTAAATTATGAACACCATAAATTTAACCTCCTTTGATTGTTTTTCTCTCTTATTCTGATAAATATTCCTGTTTAACTTTGTTAGAAAAAATAAAATTAAAAAGGCTTATAACTGTATAATTGTTAAATAACATGGAACTAAACTGAGAATACGCTTGTACATAAAGAAATTGCATAACGTGAAATTTATTTTTAATAGCACTGCGTATTAATAATAGCAGGATTGTGTAATGCAGTTTACCTTTTTTAGAAAATATGCTATTACAATGTTCTTTAATCTAACACAGGAATGTATATTGGAGTAACATGCAAGTATTTTTTATGTGTATCCAGTCTAAGAATTTACTTTGATAATGTAGTAATCATCTGATTTAATAAGGATGTAAATTTGTATAAAGTTTTTCAAGAAATTTCTGATGCCTTGTGGACTCTGCGCTGCAGTGCCAGTGGTAAAGCCAGCATCTCCGCCACCAGATTGTCCAGTGGACTGTAGTAAAGATTCGGCACGGAAAACATTGATACGACCATCCGAACTACCTATTTATTCCCTTGAGGAGATTTGTGCTAAAGAGATCCCATGGTAAAGCGCAAGTAATTTCTTTTTCTTTTATCATACATATTTTCAATTGAGTTCTTATTTAGATGCAGCATAAATCTTTGTTTTAATTCCAGCTAAATCATAAAACGTTACGTCTAAGTAAGGTCTCTGTATTGTCTATGATATTTATATAAATATCTGAGACAACTTTAAACAAGCAGCAGTTGCCACTTAATAAGACTTACCGATATGTATTTCAGCCCAGATGATTGTCCTCCAACATTTTTAGAACAAGGTTTCGGAGTGATTCGAAGAGCTGTTCAGGATGTTCTTGTTGAAGTTAACGTCGTCAATGATAAAGTCAGTGACACCGTTAATACAGGATTAGAACATAGTCAACGTGAGTATTTATACCTCTAAAATAAACTTTATCTTTATAAGGATAATATCTATTTTTAAAATGCATTTTAATAATAGTGCAATCTAAATACAATCTAAATCTAAAATATAAAAACAGTTTTTTTTCAATATAATTAAACACTAATAATATAAGAGTAAGTCGTTAATATCGCATATATCATTTTACATTATTGCAAGAATTTGTACAAGGGGTTTCTATGCTTTGCAAAATTAGTTTTCAACTTTCACAACACTTTACCGACCGGCGAATTTGGAAGTAAATGGCGATCACGAGTGTCGTAAAACCGATTAATAGGCTTCCGGTCGGTAAAGTGTTAAGCTATCTACATATTTCATTCCTCCAATAAAATCTTGGGTTTGAAGAAGACATTTCTGTTTTATACCATATAATAAAAACTATTCAAAATTATTTTTTAGTCATGTTGGATTACCTGCAACAAGAGAATAGCACCCTTCCTCGGTTGGGAGCTGTTAGCGTCGGTGGCTTGACTGGATTGATATTGGGCCTGAGGGGTGGTAAATTTAAAAAACTAGTATATACTAGTACAGGTGCTTTAACTATGGCAGCTGTATGTTATCCAAGGCAAGCTCAAGAAGGAGTGGATCTTGTGAAACATTACGTGAACATAAGTTATAATTTTGTTTACGGCAGTAAGTTACCTTCATAAAACAAAAATTTCATTTCGAAGATATTGTTAGTTTGTTAATAGATCTTATTTAGTTGAACCCTGCATGGATGAAAACTTACAAAACCAACCGGATCCTAAGTGTTAAATACACGTTTCATTGTAAACCTTTCCTCCAAATCCAAAGGAACATATTGATCACGTGATTCCTGTATCCTCTATCCTACAATGATGCCAAAGTTGATTTCTTAGTAAGTAGTTAAATAGTAAGATGTATTCACTTATTACAGCTTGCGTTTCTTTCTTTAAATCCTATTTCCATAATATCGATTACCCGAACAATTATTAAAGCGTGTATAACATATGATAAAATATTCTTGTTTCTCACATTTTCAGTCAAACCAGGTGACAATGATCAGCTGCAAATTTCATGGCCTGAATTACCAAAGTTAAAGTTACCAACAAATTTATCAGAAATTACTGAACTAGCAGTTGATACAGGTTCTGCTGCAGTTGAACTTGTTAGTTCTTTAGCTGGCAAAGCAAAGGAAATACTTAGTAATGAAGAGGTAAGACGTGAAATATTTACTCGATATATACAAATTACATTTAAAATCAACAGACTAAATTTCTAACATTCTATGTTGTTTCAGAATAAGCAATCTGAAGCTTCTAAACCTAAGGACCAATAGCTTCATTAAAACAGCAAATTTTACTTCTTATACCCGATGAACTCGACCCAAATTGAAAATCAGTTAATCATTTGTACAAGCAATGATAGCTTATCAAGTTCTGACTATTACAAAATTGGTATTGACTTGAAAATAAAGTGTACAGTATGATAATATTTATTTTCAAGCAATATATGTTCTGTGAGATATAAAACACTGTGGGATATACTTTTTCATTATCATTCCATCGTTTCACTGTATCTCTTACGCTTTGAAATTATAGAATAAAAGAATTATTAATCAGGTAATATAACTGCTTATGCATTCAGTGGATTTTCATTAGATTGCTCTTATTAATAGCAATATGCCAACTCATTCATTTGAAGCAATGAACATTTAATTACAATATGAATGTAACAAATATAGTTTGTTGTGAAAACAGAAAGATCTTAATGTTTTTAAAGCAACAAAACTTATATTCATTTATTATATTGATCACAATTCATTATATTATTCCATTGTTTAAAATGATTTAACATTTTAAAATAAATAAGTAGTCCAATACAAGGAATTCAAACAAACAGGGGACCATTTTTTACATACATATCAATATAGTATGCACATATGCACGATATAGTACTTGTTACAATGTGCTGTACGATGCCAATTCCTACGAGCACATGGCAGTTAAAATCACAATTGCAGCATGAATTAATGCTGTAAATCGATGTATACTTCAATTTAAATTTAGTCGTATTTAAGAATTTCATACTTATACCGTGAGAAAACAAAATGAATAATGCAGAAATAATTGATGCTTCTGCAATATGGCAATAATAAAAATTGTCTGACATGCATGCTGTCTACATGAGCTTAATTCGATTTCTGTTGATTAAGTATGGAAATTTGTTTTCATATATTTTGTGGATTGATTTCATTATTTTGCTTATGATCGATAATAATCAAGATAAGATTCTTTTATTTTCTCAATATTTAATCGTACAATTTTAAATGATTGTTATTTACCATAATCTAAAATGTTTCAAAGGTTTAAAAAAAAGTGCAAATATTTGCAAATTACCTATCACATGACTTTTATCATAGAAACAAAATTAAATGTTCATAAGGGCTCTTGTCGGTCTTATTTACTTTTTTCGGTGCCTGCATCTTTGGTTACTTCGTTGAAGCTATTCAAAGAATGTCTAAATTTGAAACATTTGAAAAGAATGGTTTATAAAAGTAAATTTAACAAAAATAAGTTGAAACTTGAGGCTAGAGTTACAAATTTACTAAGAGTCTCCTCTGTTCCAGTTAACATAGATTCTGATTCTTCTTAATTGGAATGCGAGTAGACATTAATAATTATTGTTTCAAATAAAATATTTTCCAGTTGTTTTAATAGTGTCCAATTTTATTATAAAGTTTAATTTGCCATTATTACACTATTATCGACTCTTATTTCGTATTTAGCGTTAAAAGAGGTCTTTTGGTTATTTAAAAGATATCTACAAAAATCTTTTAATGCCAAAAGCGAGGTACGAGTATGGACTATAGTTTTACATTATTTCAAAGACATAATTCCGAAACATATGCAAAAATGATTACGTTCCATCGTTACCATAATACAAATTTACACAGGACCATAACCGATAATGAATTCTTAAGGTGATTTTGTTATCAAAATTGAATTTCACGAGCACCATGTTCATCCTTAAGGCCTTCGTAATCACGTGTTGGAGTTTCAAACAATTCGGTGTACTCAATTTACAGAAAAGTTTTATAAATAATTTCACATTTTGATATATAGAATGACCTTTTGGACCATCATGCATAGAGTTCGAAAATTCTCGGTAACATTAAATTGGAGAAGGTAACTGTGAAACATACCGTAAGTTACCGGGAACATTGAGAATTTAAGAGAACGTTAATTTTGGTATTTATACTTTAGGTTTCTTCGTTTAAATAACTTT